GACCATAAAATAATGATTTTTCATAGTCTAATTACATGGCCAGAGTCTCAGAGGTGCCGAGGGCACCTGAATTTCACAGACTTAACGCAGCTGCGGCAAATTGAGCCCATCAGCTCCTTCAGCTTCACTGAAAGGCATTTCCTGCTTTTTAATCACCAAAGTCCTCTGTAAGATAAACATACTCACATATATAACAAAATACCTCTTATTAAACCAACCGATACAGATCATTTAGAGTGTTGACTGCCTCGGCCTGCAAACTGTGCTTCACTCACAGAAATTACTGCTCACAGGCAGTCTTTAGCCTACCTAGAACATCTGAGTGCCCGTTTCTCTTCAGAAAATGGATGGAAAGCAGGTACCCAAAAACCTTTCCACTAAATATGCTGACAACTCTGAAATGAGATTTAAGCAATTGCTGGTGACGCGGTGGTCACTCAGAGCATGCCAATCCCGTGCTCGGCCATGCCTGGAGAGACAGTTCTTCCCCATTCACCCCTAGCACTCCGGGTTTAAGATTACACCTGATTTGAAGCATCCCCTGACTAAATAAAACAAGCTGTAAGCTGATCGCCTCGTGCAATGTGCAAGCACACAATAGTAATCACAGCTAATGACTCTGCTAAATGCTAGGCTGCACACACCTCCTTGTTTGGTGTTTGTTTTGTATACAGAAGGTAACATTGACTGAATAACGAGGATGCCAAGTTACAGATGGGGTTGTGGAATCGTATTTGACAGCCGATTAGAGTAATCTGACAGAAATGATGACTTAATCACCACGACAGACTCCAAATTCCCAGATAGAATTCCACCCAGGTTAATCTAATTTCCTTGCAATATTTTTGCCAGAAATAGACTCTTAACCGGCTTGTTTTCTTCCATGCAGATGTCACATGGCTTTGACAAGAATGTAAATAGGTAGCATTATTATTGTCAAAAAGATGACTTTGAGACTCTAAAGATGGAGAGGATGCGTGCCTTTGAGAGGTTTTTGGGTTGCTCTGCTGTGTTTTTTTCCTCTAATGAAGTTATATTTACATACGGTGGGATATACTCAGGAAAAAGCGGGGGAAAAAAAGATGTAACTAGTCAATTGTAATTCTAGGCCATGGCTCAGTCCTGCTGCTACCCTCGACATAGCCAGCGGCCAGATTCTCATTGATTTCAGGGGGATTTTCAAGATTGCATGTTTGACAACTGTTTCTTTCCTGTGGACCACATCAGCACCCCTGCTTGGGATACACCCAAGGAGACGCGGTGACATGCTTGGCCTTGGGCTTTGCGTGGCCTCCGTGGCAGCGCAGGCAGTGGATGGAGCCCCCACTTTGCTGCCAGCACTGCCTCAAGGCACTGCTCAACCTTGGGCAACAGGCATTTGCCTGCTCTCAGTCGTAAAACAGTGGCATGGTGTGTTTTGAGACCTATGGATAGAGAATGCGTATAGAAGAGGTAGGTCGTGCCGTTACTGGCTGCACAACTGTATTCGGTAGAGCTCTCTAAAATATTGCTGAGGAGAGGTTGTTCCTTACAGCCCATACTCCAGTCTGGTTTTGATATCCCCATGCGCAGTGCTTGCCAGGGGAAGCTGCCCACACTCAGAAGGAACCTACCTGAGAGCTGTGTTGCTCCCTTTTACTATATGGTCTGAGCACAGGATGATGTTAATATCTATAAATTATTTACTGCAGTTATTTCTCTTATACTTGCCTATTCATTAATTGCAACTATGAATTCATAAATACTGTCTTTTCATAAGCAGAACTTTCTTCAAGCAGAGAAAAAACACTTCCTGTTTTTCTGTGCGACAACATGAAATACTGAGAAATCACTTACCTTGAGATCCATAAGTGTATGGCTTTGTGATATATAGCTACAATAACAGCTTTCTGATAAGACATGAAATCCTTCATTTCAGTAGATGACATGATTCTAGTGGGTGGCATCTAATTTGAAACAGGTTTATATCATCTATAATCTTTTGGAGGGCCTCGGAAAGTGCAGCTATTTTATTATTTTATAGCCTGCAGTTATACAAGCAAGATATAAAACGCACAGATTATTTTCTCTTTTGCTCATCGTAGAGTGAAAGGATAGTACATATTTAGCCTTTGTCTCTGCCCCTTTAATTTTCTTATTCACTGCACGCTTCTTTGGTGCTCATTCTTTTCTTTTCTTTTCTTTTCTTTTTTACACCTACTTTTAAATATTTTATGGGTAGAGAGCTTATAATATGTATTGTCACGGCAGTTGTCTCTAGAGGTCAGCAATGAGTTTAATAATGAGATGCGAACCAGTGACTCTGTAAAACCCATTTCAGGTTATAAATGGCATGTTTTATTGAATCTAGTGTTAAAGGTTGTTAACGTATCAATTGGTGATGGTCAGGGTTAAACAAGCTTCAACACGAGCCCTCTCATGTTAGGAAACTGTCAGTAACCTATTTTTCCACCTTCCTCTTCGCCGAAGCCATGTTTGTGTATCGCATCCATTTTACCGTGGGTATTCCGCGGTTTAAATGCTCCAGGCCTGATCTGAATCTTTTATTGGTTTTGCACCGCTATAATTTTGTTAAACACAACGACATCACTGCTGACTCTGTCTTGCTGGTGCGAAGAGAATTTGGACCATGGGATTTTAGCAGGAACCTTTGAAATCAAGTCAAAACCCAGTTGAAGTGTCTTGTTAAATCTTGCCTCTTGCTTTGTGAATGTAACAGATTACTGATTTAAAGAGCTTGGGGTAATTATGTATAACAGAAGAGGATGATTTCTGACATGGTAACTGTGTTTGTCAGGTAACACTGATCTTTATGTTGTGACTGTGGGGCTGCAAAAACAACTTCACATAAATTTGGTCTAAAGTTGGCTTTTCTGGTTCAGATAGTTTGAAAAGTGAAAGGTTTTTAACATTGCTAGAATGCCTTTATTCAAAATGTCTCCACTTAGAGGCATATAAATGCAGCTAGAAAGAGCAATAGATTCTCTGTCTATGAAAGGTCTGGATTTGGGTTTTTCTTTTATAACCTGCATATTTCCAAATTTGCAATTCTCAGTTTTCTTTCCTCTTATTTTCTCACCAATCCATTGCTCCTCAGAAATGTCAATACCTGCAATGGGCTTATGGAGCAAGTTACACCTTTTTTCTTCTTTCACTTTTTGCTTGCTGAGTGGACATGCTGCATCACATTCCCCTGAATTTAAAGCCTCCTGCAGTGCCCAATGTATTGTTGATGCCAGGAAAAATGTTAAGCACTAGTTAAAGAAGATAGAGTACAATGGAAGTTCCCTTTTTTCTATAAATTAGATCGAATAAGAGTGGTGGCAGACAAGTACTGGGCTATTAAAGTCCATTTGGGAAACAAATGATTCAAAGAGAACAGAATTGTTAAAATTGAAGCAAATTTGTGCATCCTGGTGACTACATCCACCTTGTGGCTTTGCATTTTCCATAGGGCACGGTGGGGAGTTTTGCACGCAGTACAAGGAATGCATTGATTTGCAGGACCAGGGAGCGTTCTGGACTTTGAGTAAATCTTACGGAAACATTCACAGCAACGTTTTATATTTTCTAAAGAATCTAGCAACTGTGTCCCTGGAGGTTGAGCGACTCCACCAAAAGCAATGCAGATTTGGTTTTCTGTGACGCTTTGAAGGCACATTTGATATGAGTGCATGGATGTCCTCTCCTGCTCAGCTGTTTTTGTTTCCCAAAGTTTGCCATAATAGTCTTTTATAAAATAAAATGGAATTGCCTCTGACATTTTCAGGCAATACTCAGCCCTGCTGCACTGAAAAATGATACAAAAGAAGTAAGAGCATAGATTTTTTACCTACTCATGTGAAATGGTGAGGAATTGCTGAGGAGAGAAAAGACAGTGGCCCCACTGCTGCCGGAAGGTTTCTGCAGTCAAATCTCAGCAATTCTGCAGAGCCCTATGAAAGAAAATAAAAGTGGGGTTTTTTGCAAGCTTAAACATCTCCCACATTGAAACTCAATGTGAGGTCAGTTCTGAAGGCTTTTGAGAAGCTGTAACAAACTTTCCCTGAATCCATCACAGTGGGCACATGGCTGGCTATAACCACTGTCCAGTGGAAAGCCACACACTCTGATCAGAGGGAGTTCAACTGTTGTGGTTTTGCTATTCCTGAAACAACAGAAAACACTGTTCATAAAAATTTTGTTGGAGTTACCAGCAATTCGGTGTGTGGGGGAGCATCATTTAGTCATGAAAGCTGAGGACACACCGTACCGAGCGTGCCGAGGTAGGATGCCATGTGATGTTCAGCATAGCATACAGCACAGAGAGATTGATTGCTTTTGCAATAAGAGGGACATGAATGGAGGAAGAGATTGAAAGGAAAAAGTATTAGGAGTTTTTATGGAAGCCAGAGTTGTGCCATGTTGTTATGGAAGCTTTATGAATGAATGTATAATGTATTAAAAAAAAAAAAAAATGCGATACTAAACAGTTAGAGGAAGCACAAGTCTCTTCAGTTCTGAAAGAATCAGCACATGTTTTTTTAATTACAAGCAAAGTTCATTTGTCAAACTCAACTCCTCTGAGTATGTTTAAAATGCTTGCTAGCTCTTAAATTACTTGAAAATTCCATCTCAGTTTTGGCAGTGTTTGAGCTCAAGGAAAAAAAGTTGGTAAAACAGAAACCAAGCATGCCATAAACTAATGAGGGCTGTAACTTTAGAGGTCTTCTGAAACTAGATGCAGCAAATTAAAATTTTATATGAGTCCTGTGGGCCCAATGATCTATTTTTTTTAATCTTCCTGGTTATAAAGTGCTCCTTTACCATTTTATTTTTTCTTAAAAGCCTATAATATAGTGTATATATATATAAAATATAAAAAGCCTATAATATGAATTTATATAATTTCAACATGTTTAATATTAATCATATGTCTTTTTAGCCCTTCCTTAAAAACATGATTCTTGATTTTTTATGACTATCCAACCTGCCTTACTCCTTTTCATTTTTGTTTTTAGATGCATCATCCTATTCAGATGAAACCCGCAGATAGTGAAAAGTCAAATGGTATGTGTTTAATTTAATTTTACTTAATTGTGACTCTCTGTAAACTAAAGCAAACGCAACGCTGTGAGAGTTTTTGCTTTACTCCTTGTGTGGTGAAAATGATATGTTTTTTTTACACCTGACATGCTGGGGAAGATATTGACCTGGTCTGAACTCCCATTTATCGTCTGCTTTAAAGAATGGAGGAAATGCTCTGAAAAATGGTCTTCCTTGTACCTACTGTATGTCACGGTCTACCTTGCTACATATGTCTTTCCCTTGTGTTCTCCTAGCCACGAAGTGATGCAGGAGCACCTGATATTGCTAAGATGGAGATGAAATTTTAATGGTGAAAATAAAAAAGAAAAGAAACAAGAAACATTGCTGTGTTAACACACTGTGTAAGCAGGTGATGGGCCTTAAACATTTGCCTAAACTTCCTTTTTACAGAATGATACTGTTCTGAATCTGAGCCAAATTTAAGTTTTAATCATACGCTTGATTCTGAACTGGGAAACCCACCCTGTGGCTCTCTGTATACGTATTCCTCTCGACGACTGTAAAATGAATGCTATAAAGACAGTAATACCCATTCAGAATACTAGGGTACTGCCTAAGTGGATGTATATGACATGCAAAATAGACTGCATGCTAAATCTATTAAACATGCCAGGTCTGTATATTCAGGGAAATAGGATAATCGGATGGTAATGCAACCTGGCTGTGTGTGATTCTTTAAAAATATATACATGTGTATATTTTGCCCCTTGATTTGTTCCTGTAATTTTCTAAAATATATGTTAAAGATATCATCTGCCTTCTTAGATTGCAAGAGCTTCATTTTCCCATAAGGCCCACATAATCAGAGCTGGTTCCTCCAACAGGCATCTTTGCACCTCATTAATTAGTAATCAGGGCAGAAGCCGTGCACTTAGAGATCTACATACCTGCAAATGTAAATTATGATTGGGCTCTAAATCTCTCCGCAAGGCTTTTTTAAGGCTTCTTTTTTGCTAATTGTAGTGCATCCCATTTTCAGGCTTCTCCAAGGATTATAAAGTTTGGAAGGAAATTAAAACTTCACATTATGCTAGCTTTCCTATTATGACAACTTTCAAAACAAAACTGACCACAAGCACAGGAAATTTGAACCGTCACCCATTTGTAAGGGAGTGATGTTCTCTCTCTTGGGTTGAGTTTTAGCAGTGATTTCTTGCCGTCTTTGAATGCTCAGAAGAGAGGCCAAGGTGCCTGCATGGGCAGAAGGACTGAACTTTTCAGGTCCTGCTGTGGTCAAGGAGAACTTTACTGTTGGAATCCAAACTTCAGTCCCTAGTATTTATTGTGCTTGCAGCGGGCACAATTTTCCCTTAGGTACAGGAACACTGCCCTGGACCCTCTGAACTAGGTCTAACCTCTATACTTTCTTCTTTCAAAGAGAAATTTCACCTCAAGTTCCTTAGCAAATTAGAAAAATAAGAGACAATGAACCAAAATTGACTCCCAATGAGTTACTTGTTCATTGCCTGAAGTTTTTCTTCCTAAAGGAGATCGAACATATTGGCAAAGCGCTATGGAGAATTGTGCAAATTCTGTCTTGCTCTGCAAGAAGCACCTGCTTGGAAAGCAAGATAGGTTAGCTCCTCACTGCTGCTGTTAGACTGGGGTTATCTACATGATGCTCCTGTCTGCACTGTGGGAATACTGTCTTACTTATTTGCACCTATCCCTAGCATGAAAATCATGAGGGATTGGCTTTTTTTTTTTTTTCCCCCCTTGCCTTTCTTTCTATTTTGGGGAAAACACATTGACAGATCAGAGGTTGCAAATGTCAAATTAAATACCTTTTGAAGTTTAAGACTCCTGGAGGGTGTAGGTACTTCTGGTAGGCATGTTCTGGGGGTGGTGATCTCCTTTTTTAATGACTGAGGAAACAGAAGGCAAACTAATACCATGGTGATGGTAGCAATGGTACAACTCCTTGGAAAGATGGGACGTAGGCGTGGGATCCATGGAGGAGGTGAGAGTTTGCAAGCAGCTTGGAGAGCCAAAAAGAGAAAGAACAGCAGCATGGGGGATGCGGAGGCCTGTTTGGCACGTGTTTCCCATATGCTTCAGGCTATCCATCTGAGGAGGTATATTATCTGTGCCAGCAAATTGTAAACTGTACCTCTTCAACCAGATTGGTAAGTTCAAAGGGGAAAAGAAAGAAGACATGCCAAGGCGTCTTGGTTTTCATGATCTGTGGTGTTTGAGCTTTTGAGGAATGCTTGAAACCCTTTGATTTCTGAGTAGTGGGAGGATCCCACTACATTTTAAGGTAAAGTAGCGTTTCTCAAGTTTCAAAGAGATTAAAGAAATTCTCTTGGTCAAAATTTCCAGAGAGCTTGTGGGAAGATATGTAGGAGAGGTTGAAGAGTCATTACAATTCTTCTGGGCTTGCACATGTTTGTGAAGGCTGGAGAGACCTGCAAGTTCCACAGGGAAGGAGGTTTGAATGAGCATCCAAGCCCAGGAGTACCAGGATGAAATGCCTGTCCATCTCCATCACTGTTCCTGTGTTTAGATGTATGCCTCACTTCAGAAACCTGTCCCTTAGCACAAAAGGCCAAGCTCGCCTCATGGCAACTGGGAGATGGGTGTGGAAAAGGCACCCCCTGCACACGTTTGAGTGAGTGCCTGGGCACTTCTGCAGGGTTAGGACTTCATTAGCAACCTGAGGATCTGTTTTCTTCTGGGTAGGAACTGGGTGGCTGCATACGTCTATGCAATCATCTCCAGCCCTACCCTGCATACAATAGCTCATGTATCTGAGTCATCTCTCTGCTCGTGCAGATGAAGCAAAGCTTTATTTCTTCCAAGCTTTTAGCAGCTAGAGTTGGTGGGGAAAGACTTGCCTTTAGATCTAATTAATTGTCTACTCAGGAGGATTCCGAAAAGGCTTTTATTGTTGAGAAACATAACATCCCTGAATAATGTTCAGATGATGAATTTTGTAGTGTCCTGTTTTGATCACCCATTAGGTCTAGTGTGACCACCTCTATATTCCTAGGTGGTTATTTTAACGTATCTACAAAGTTTTGATTAAGGATTACCTGACAGAAAAGCACGGCTTCAAGACTTTGAAGGCTCCACCATTGCTAGATTTATCTTAGCTGTTAATCGCTCACAGTATTTGTCATTTTTAAAGATAATTTCCCTTTTTCAAACAAAGGGGATTCCTGCGCTCTAATACTAAAAAGCACATAAACACATGCTTGACTCTAAGTTGTCTGTGGCCATTAACATGCTACAATTTAGCAAATACTTAAATGTTTCTTCGATCAGGATTTGAATACAGTCAGTACTTTCAGGCACATATCCTGAGGACAGTATGGTCTTAGATGGATCAAAGCATCACCACTTCAGGGAAAATGACAAAATCCTCTATTAAAAAAAAAAAATGCGGGGAGGGACACAGCTGAGTGATCTTACAATTTTTTTTAATTTATTTTATTAGTGAAAACTTGAAGAAATAATTTTGAAATTCTAAGTGGCACAACTTTGCTGATTTGGAGGGAATGCCATATGTTAGCACTAACACATAGAAAAGTTGATAATTAATGCAGTCGACTCCAGATCCAGGTGTGACTTCGACAGATTGTATGCAAGGGTTTTTCACAGGCTTACAAATAGGGATAAAAGTCTGTTTTCCTCCCTTCCCTTCTGGATGAAAAAAAATAATGAATAACCGTTTATATACAATTAACTATTTCTTTATTTGCTCAAAAGAGAAGGCAACTTCTGGATGGAAAATGCACTCTTTAACTGACTAGACTTCTCAAAAATGTATAAAGGGATATAGCTCTGATTTTTCATGACAGAATTCTGGAGGTTTAGAAAAGAGAAAGGAAAGTTTGTTGAATCTTCAGGGAGATTTCCCATGATTATTACAGGGTTTAATTCTTTTGTAACATACAGAAAATAATCTCTACTCCTTTATTCTCCTGGGTTAGCACAAGCAATCTAATATAGCCTGCAAGAAATGCTCATTACTGAAGGAAATTAAGTAAAGCTAAAAAAATTAGACCCTTCAGGATTTTATTCTGCAAGTTGGATGTAGGGCTGTCAGAAGGCAGGAGAGTCCAGTTTGAAAGAAGCCCCCCAGCAGAGGCAGACTTCATCTCAGCTAACTTTTGATGGCTAACATAGCTGTCTGGCTTCAGACACAATACCTAGGCACCCATGCTAGTGATTGCAGAGCGAGTCTCGATGGAGTTACGAGAACAACGCATCTCATCTTAATACAGATATCTCCACTTCGTCACACAGGGTTCCTGCATTCAGTCAAAAGATTCCCACCCTGAATCCGGCAGGCTTAGCATTGGATGTTTTACACTAACTGCCCGAGCAACATAGCTGACTTGTGTTTGTGATATGTTTGGATGGGTTAGAGGTGAATCCCATCGTTATTTAATCAAGATGCTGTGCAGTGTCACACCTTCCTTCATGTAACTAGCACTTCAGGCCTTGTTCACTGTGACCTTCTGGCTACTTCTGCTCCATCAAGGACGGGTGCTCAGCCACCCCATCCTACTAGGTGTTTATGGATGGTTGTGTCTACTTCATGTCCCCAGAGTGCTGCAAAACAACCGGAAGGTACAACTGGGCCTATGAATAAGGTTCAGAAATAATGATGTCAAACACTCACCAAAAAATTTTCATTAATTTTCTGCATTTTGAATTATTGAAACCTACCCGTAGTGTGAGAGAGAGAATTATCAAGCAGCAGTAAAATGCTTATGAGATATGTGCACACAAGTGCTGACCCTTGTGCCCTCTTATCTTTCCCCAAGCCTTCTCCTTTGCCTGCTCTCATTGCCCAAAGCACTCCCAGCTCCCAGACTTTGTTCGGTCCCTCAGAGCTCACTTATTCCTCCTGTCCCTGCAGTTGGATGTCAGGACATCTGCTTGTTATCATGATGAACAAGTTTTGGGAGTTGGCTAGAAGGTAACAGCCCTATCTATTGTCAACAGCGTAGGAGAGACTCCTGTAAAACAGGCCATCCCATCTTGCTGGGGAGGTGAGATCAGTCACTCTTTGGAGGAGCAGATCTCTTTGCATTGACAACAGGCAATCAATAACATTTTAGCCGAGATGTGAGACTGGACATCTAAACTGTAGATGACTAAAGTTAGGCGAGATGGCTTTAGGCTGCCATCCATTCTTCAAACAGCAGCAGGTAGTGCCTTTCCCAATCTCAATGCTTTGTTGGGTCTCGTGTGTTTAAGGTTGGGCTCCTCATTTTACAGTCTATGGGAGCAACCCAACATGCACAGGCAAATCAGCAGGCTTGACTGATCAAAAGGAAAGTTTGCTAACCTCTAAATATGTTTGACCCATACTTCATGCAGTCTGTTGTCTGTTTGATTCTGAAACCATGCGTGCATGGCAGGTAAGTATTCATTTAAGAAAGAAAGTAGAGAAGTGGCTGACCAAAAATGCAGAAACAAATCCAGACAACCAGTCTTATGGAGGTGAAAAAGCATATCTTTCTCTGAATGAGAATATACAGTTAAAAACTCTTTGAGCCTAGTAATATCAGATGTTCTATCAGATGGAGTGAAAACATGTCATTTTGGTCCTGACAGTTGTCCCTTTAAATGTTTTTTTTATGCTGGGCCCCTAGCCAAAATAGAATAGCAATTTTCTTAAACTTCAACACTGATCAGCACTGACTAATAGCACTGAATGCAGAGCACATCATCGTATCAATATGTTTTCTGTACTCTGAGCAGTCTTCGTGAAATCTGCATTTTTAAGATGTACAGTACATGGGAGCTGGATATTTAATTTACTATAAAATCACCCTCAAGCTGAAAACCTGCAAATCATGTTAGTTAAATGGCATATTTATAGGTTTACGAGCAAAACTGAAGGAGGCCGGTGGGGAGTTTGTCATCTGCTACTCTTTGGAAAATTAAAACAAAGCCTTCCTGTTTGCATCTGATTTCTTTTGAATCTCCACGTGAATCTCTTTGGTTTGAGTCTTTGTCCTTGCACCTAAGCAAGGGACCTCCTTTAAGATGACATGGCAAGCATTTGTCCAACTCAGCCAGCAGCTGTATTTAAGAGAGGGTTGGGATCTAGTCACCCTTAGGGTAGACCTGCACACTGTATTTCAAGCCTAAAATCAACCCAAATTTAAACTGGCTGGTACTAGCTGACACACAGGCAGAAGTTAAGAGATTCGTAACACAGAGCAGAAGGCAATACTTGGACCCATGCCTGGCACCAAGGCTTCCCCCAGCTTGACCTCAGTTTGTGGTATGGAGAAATCCATACTTGACAGCCCAGCTGGATCCCTTGCCTCATACCTTTTCCTGCACCCTGGCCATAGCATGTCGAGGGGACAGGCTGGCCAGGGACCTTCCTCAAAGAGATTACTCAGGCAATATAGGAATTGTAAGCAGCCAAGTTACAGGCATCCTTTCACCAGCAAAAGTGACTACCTAGACTCTCCTTGTGGCTGTGAGCAAGCCAATTCAGTTCTGCCATCCTTAAAATAATTACTAGCAGCATCAAGGCCAATTATATATTATGAATCAGATGTAAAATTTCATTGTAACACATACATATATACATATATATATATACACACACATAGACACATAAAAATCCCAAGTTGCAGGTCTTATTTGCAATCCGGTGTATTCAGTTCCTGATCTGTATGTAACTGGCTCATCCCATGCATTCATCATTTGTTAACCCTTTCTGGAGGGTTAAGCTGCATGTGGAACCTCAATATAAAGTGTGAATGAAAATGTTGAGTTCTTGAGGAATCTCTGCTGAGGAAAATTTCTCCTGGGTGTTAAATTCGTGCCACTTTTCATGCAAGCTATTGTAGAGTGAGAATCTGGGATTGTAGGGGCTGGTCTTTGTTTTGGATTCTGAAAAAGGTATGATCTTGGTACTCTCTTGTATATAAGCTACAAATACTTTTTAAAGTCAGTGATTCTAAGGAAAAAATTACTTCAAAGACCTCTCATGATCAATAAACATGAACATCTTTTTATTGTTGAAATTATTAAATACACTTAAAGTGTTGAAGTATAACACAAATAAAATCCTGTGAAAATAGATGCAATTTCTTCTTCCTCAGCTGCAATTTATTCCATTTGACAAACTCGTACTAATACAGGAGAGAGAGTTGAGGAGCAAGGGAAGATTTTTTTTTCTTTTTAGTAAACCCAGAAATGAAAATACTTCATTACAAAAATAATTTGCACAATAATAGAAATAAGTAAGTGCACTGCAGACTCTCTGGAGTAAAGCTTTCCTTCTCTCTTTGCTTCCCTGCAAACTCTGACAGTCTGCTCATTAACAGTGAATTGGATTTACATGCCATTTCAAGAGAAGAAGAAAGCACTGGTGTATTTACTGTATAATAAGCACTTTAGATTTTTTGGTTTAATATAGAAGGGAGGGTGCGTTAACATTTTTAAGTCTTTCCAGGGTGAAGTAAGTCTTGATGACCTATATCATTTTTGACGAGAGTCCACAGCTTTAGAGCTGTAAATTTGAGTTTGATTAACAGGACTGCATGTGTCCTGTTGCAGCAGTCTAGCTTTTGCTGATTTTGGTGACAATGCAGGCAGGAAATATTCTACCATTAATTCAGGTAAAGCACCTTTTTCATGTTTTTTTGCAAACTCAGCATCATTACGAATCAAAGGGTTTGGCTCTGGGAAAGCTTTATGCAGCCTCTTTGTTAAAGTGATGCCCTGGAATATGCCTTGTGTTCTCCTGAAGGAGAGAGGGCTGTGGCAGTCTGGAAAAAAAAAAAAAAAAGCAGGAAAATTTAATGCATTCTTTTTCCAGAGCAGTTGTTACACATCTGCCTTTCGAGTACCATGCATTAAGTTGGCTGAAATTGAAAGCTCAGATAGGAGCCGCTCTCTCAAAACATTTCTCAGGAATATTTTTCATTAGCTCGTATCATTACACGTACAATCCCTTCTTCACCCTCACCCCTGTCATGATTTCTTTCATACATGAGGGAGGTGAGGGAATTTATCTGAATTAAAATCTATGCAAAGATATCTTTAAAAGTCTCTCTAACAGAGGATGCTTTTCTCTTAGAAGCCGTGATGGGGAGGCATATACAGAATGACTAAGGCAGCCAATTAATATGTTGTATAAACAGCAAGCACCACTAGAAAACAGGAGAGAGAGAAAGAAAAATGGGAGATTTGGGGTGGGGGAGGAAGGGGGGGAAGGGAGGTTGTAAGTATAAAGTGTTTGCCTTAGGACTTGTCTTCAGTTACAGAGCCAGACTCACATGACTGGAGCTTGGTTTGATGTGGTAATGAAGCATTGATCACAGGAAAAAGATGAAATGGCCTTTGCTCATTCATTATTTTTATCTTCTAGCTGTGGAAGACAGAAAATTGTTCATAGGAATGGTTTCGAAGAAGTGTAATGAGAACGATATCAGGGTGATGTTTTCTCCGTTTGGCCAGATAGAAGAATGCCGAATCCTTCGGGGACCGGATGGGCTGAGCAGAGGTGAGTGTGCAGTCTGTAAAGTCTCTTTCCTTAAGTGCTAATTGGGAGCTATATGTCACAGCCGAGGTAGGCATAGCTGCTGTCTGCAGCTAGGGGTTACGCTGTAATACATCCCACGTGATGAAGGTATCCGCATGAACTTTTCACAGTGACTGAAATTATCACCTTTTATTTCCAGTGTCAGAAAGGTCTCGGTGCGAACATATTAACTTGTGTTATTGCCCTGTTTGTCAGATGGAAAGTTTCCTTTGCACCCTGAGAAAACACCCTCAGTTTTCTGTTCTCACAAAGTCAAAGATCCTTCCCTGACCCCATTTCTGCTTTGTAGCATAAGGCCAAAAAAAAAAAAGGGGGGCTGTAAATGACTGCTTGAAGGCATACAGTGTCATGGGAACTGGTCCACGTTGTAGCACTATCTCCTTCATTCCTGTGTTTTCTGTAGCTATATGCAAAACATAGATCTGCTGTAACTGAGAAACGAAGAGATTAGCTTGAACCTGAGAGCTTTGCCTGGACAAAAGTTTGTAAAAAGAGCTTTTAAATCTTGTGCCTCTATGACAACCCAAAAACCAGGACAGAGGTGTTAAGTAGCACCACCAAGAGCGGTCAAGCAGCTGACCTGAACTTTGGAAATGAAGTGCAGCACAGACTTCAATAGCCGGTGATCCCTTTTGAGTGCAAAAGTGCCTTTTGGGGAAAGGCCCTCTGAAAAAATATTGGGGGAAAAAAAAAATCTATATTGGTGACCCAGGCTGCATATTAACTCCATGGTATATAGACCTGAAATTATTCTCAGAGCGTGAACCTTCTCAAAAACTCAGTACCAGTGAGTGGAAAAGAAAATAGTGATAGTCCTGTCTGTCAGTGCAGAAGGATGCTGTGGTACTAGTACCATGGCCATTTAACAGCATGGGGAGTGAAGTAATTTAAAGTGTTCAGCTGTGAAAACATCACTTCTGTTTCTATAGAAAAAAAAATACATAGAAAGCACAGTTTATGCATTTTATTACATTTTCAAAAGGCACAGGAAAAATAATAGTACCCATTTTGCATATAGATATAGGTATAGATACAGATATTTTTCTTTACTTTTGGATCTGCTTGTTTCCAGTAGGCTATAGGATCCGCAGTATTTTTTGCAACAATTTGTGCATGGGGTTTTTTGTTTTGTGTGCAGCCCAGCTTCTTTAAAATGCCTATAAATTTCAGCAGGGAAAGTTGCGGGTATTCCTATATTTCATGACGCTGCTTGAAAGCACTTACTATACTACTTCTGAATAATAAGGACTTATTAAAAAGACACTCTGACAATAAATAGGGAGCCCCAAGAAAATTATACGCTTACATTAATGCATGCTTAGTCTGCAATCCTAAAACTTTTGAGGTTGGAATGCAGCAGTCCCTTCAGGCAAGAAGAGCCTCAGGATCATGGCTTTTGCCTTGGGAGAGACTAGGGGAAAGGTCTGAGGTTGGTTCCTGCAGCTCAGTAATGAATGTTAACTGATGGAGCCGAGTGCTGTCATTATCCTTCTAGACCCAACATTGAGGCAAAACAAATATTTCTCATTTTCACTGATTTCATTTTATAAGTAGCACAGGGAAGGGGTGGTGGAAGACACAAGTGGGAAAGGAGCTAAGTAATTGCTGAAATAACAAGATCTGGGCATCAGATATTTTGAGGCCTGAAAAGATTTAATTGACTCCTCAGCATCACCCAACAAAGAAATGGATCTTTCCTGGGATCCACAGAAATCCCACTGTGTACTTGCTTTTATTCAACAGACATTGGGCATAGTACAAGCATAGAAAAGCTAATTACGAAATCCAACAGGGCAAGTGAGGTTGGTGGGGTAATTTTGTTGTGCCGTAAATAGCAATCTCACGATAATCAGAAGCTGAGATTTTTAAGGCATGTCACCAACGTATCAGGCAGGGCAGTGTCGTCTACTGGCCAGCACAGCCATAGAGTTAATGTGCTGCTCTGAACTGCTGGAGGCTGAAGATCTCAGTCCAGGTAGGTCACACACCAGTAGTCATAGCAGAGCTGTATCCTCTCTGCCACTCGAGTTTATTTCGGTCACAATCACGACTGATATTCTGTCATGCCCTCATGCATCATGCCTTGTTAAACTTGAATTGCTTTCTACACACCCACGTTCACACTTGAAAATGGGTTCAGCTGTGCCAGCCAGGTTTTCAGGCAGATGTTTATCAGCTTCACAAAACCACCACTCCATGAGAGAAGTCAAAGTGTTGGGAAAATGGTTGGTATTGCAGTCGAAATGAAAAGTGCTAAGGGAGATTTGCAGTGGAGGGAGCTTGACTGAAAAAGCACAGAGTGAAAAGCTGCTTCACTAAAGCAAGAGGGAGAATTTATACAGTTAAATCTTTGTAACGAGTTCCAATACTTAATGAACTTTAATTCATGTTACTGTTTCCAAGACTTTAATTCCCATTGACACAAATAGTATTTGTTTTCCCAGCACCCGTCCAGATGTGCTTCCCTCCTAGACACAGAAGGGTGAAGGAAAAACAGTCACTGTCTTAGGAAAACACTGTCCTCACCATGCCAGAGCCTTCAGGAACTTGGCGGTACTCACAGCAGGGAGATGGAAACATGGTCCAATAAACTCTATTTGGCATCTTTTCGATTGCGTAACAAGTGCACATCATGGTATCTCGGACGAAAAGAGCTTGAAAAGTATATTCATTGGTATTTATTCCAACTTTCAAGCTTTGTTAGAAGGTTCAGGCAAATGACCAGCAGGTAGTTGCAAGGAATAGCCCCAGATTATAGTGCTCAGTGGAACAGTTTTGGTTTGTGCAGCTTTTTTTTTTCTGAGTAAAAAGGTTTCAGTTGACTTTTAGGCTGTGTCTACCCTACAAGAGCAGCCTTACCTCTAGTAAGGTAACAGTCTGCTGTCAACTCATAGGCGAGGTGTAGGGTTGTAGTGTACCACATGGCCCTTGTAGCAAGGAGAAATCCCATCCTGTGGCATTGAGGGAAACTATAACACTTTGTGATGAGTGTGATATAAGTGCTAAGATAAAGAGAGAGAGGGAGAGAGCTTGAACTGGTTGTTTCTATTGTAATTTCTAGCCAAGAGCTGACAGAACTTTAATAAAGTTGTACCCATTGCTGTCACTACTGATAATGGATCATCAGCATTTCCACTCCAAATTCCTATTGTCAGCTGTTTGGAATTCATCTGTAAATTGAGACTAAAATAATGATAGAAAGCTCCAGTGGTGGAGCAGTATATTTTAAAGAAACTGAGATTTTTTTACTTGAGTCATTTTTTTCCCCACTGTTGTTCACGCCTGCATCTAAGAAATAATTGTTGTTTATATCTGTAACTTCTTAAATTCCGGCCAGCTACAAAAAGTAGGCAGCAACCAAAAGGCATTGCCTTCCGAAGGTTCTGGGATAGTCCATGTGAAATTAGTTGGCTAGCAGAGAGTAATTCCTAGCTGTGAAAAGTATTAAAAAATAAAAATACCCTGTTGGCTGTAGAGATAAAGAAACCAGAGGCTCAACAGACACGGAGGCTGGTCTTCGCTTTAGCAGAGTTCATGGGACTATCTAAAGAAGCTTGCCACTGCCTGTACTATATTCATTATTCAAAGAGAAGGATTCAGCCTGCAGGGTTGTTTAATCCAGCACTTTTTCTGAAGAGCTAAGTATGCTTTACAAAAATTCATGATTGTGATATCATGTGCTAAGCTTCATTATCATGAAAAAGCAGAAATGAACTGCCTGAGATGATTAAGATTTTAAATCACTTATTGTAAACGGCTTAAGGAAACTTTCAGACCTCCTGACTCCTAGCGCTATGTAATGTCTACATGACCACAGATGACACCACAGCCAGCCATGCAAAGATAGCTGGAGTGTGCAAAACTAGCCAGAAATAACCCAAGTTTGATTTGTAACTGTGCCACAAATGTGCTGTATTGACCGTAGGTGAGTTGGTCTCTTATCATCTCTCTGTTATCCCATTCCTTAAAATAAGGATAGCAATGCTCCTCTACCTTTGTAAAATGCTTTTTTTAGATCAGTGGATCAATATCTCTGTATCATTCTAGGAATTATTACCATCCATAATGATGATTTAAAAAAATCCTCTTATCCTTATCACAGGAGCACCACACAGCAGATTATTCTGCTGTATTGCTAAGTGCAGATTTATATAACAGATACCAGAAAGAAGTCAGCTGGGTTAATAGCATGCACTGAAAAAACCTGCTAATAACATGTACAGACATGAAAATTGTGGAAAAGCTCAAAATGCATGTTTCTATATCTTCTAGGCTCCTAATTGTATGATTTTTTTAACAAAACATCACCAGGCACATGGGACAAGTGAATATTTCTGCAGACATTGATTACAAGGATTTTCTTTTTCTCTTTCTTTGCTTTAGGAGCAGGTTAGAAATGGAGACTTATACCATGGTGAGGCAATTTAGTTTCATGACAATCCATTCATAACTTTCAGATTCAAGGGTTTTCTGATGAATTAGTAAAAGAAAATTAGTATTTGCATCATAATTAACTGCAGGGTAGGTGAGGAGGTTTTATACCTGTTTGTTTTTCCTTATGGATGTTTACTGCTCCTTTCTGAGCTAAAGTAATGTGAAAGGCCAGCCATGGGAGCAGCCTGGATTAGGGGCCTCCTTCTGACTTGTGGATCAGTAAGTGATGGGAAACGAGGACAATGGAAGTGCTGTATTTTTAGTTGCTCTTCAAAGTACCTCCATGCTTTATTTCTTTTACTGTAATGTGGTAACATTTTAATTTTTTCCAGTCATTATGGCACATTTAATTTTCTTTTTCCCCTGCTGAAACTCTTTTGAAGCTGGGAAGGACCAAACACGTCCAAGTGACCAGTGTCTCTGCTGGCCTTTGACCAGTAACTATGTCTCAGATTTCCATTGTTACAGCTTTGCAACAATCACTTCCCAGAGGGAAGTCTGAAATGAAATATTTTACAAGAGTTTTT